ACCCCGGCCTGACCCACAAAGCTTGGTTTCTCTCACTTGGCCGAGGTCTGAAAAAAGGGAAGGGCAGTTTGGAAGACCCTGGCATCGCCCGAGTGGAAACGTGGAATGAATTCTCCCCCTTGGAGGGGAAAGGACGGACACCCGGAGCTCCGAAGAGGGAAAGAGGGGGGTCTCCCATGCTCTCCACCCACCCACCCTCCCCTCTGATATGGGGGCTGGGCAATACCTGCTCGATCCAGGGGATGAAAGCAGAGACGCGGGTGAAGACGGTGGGCTTCTGCGGGGTGTTGCATCCTAAGATCGAGATGAAGCTGGTCACCCCGTGAACGTACCACCGGCCGTCAGCAGCTGGGCAACTGAGGGGCCCCCCGGAGTCACCCTGAAATGTGGAGTGAACCCTGACCCTTGTGTTCCTCAGTCATCCGTGCAAAAATACCTCTCTACTGCCGTATCCCAGGGAGGTGGCTGTTGCTTACAGAGCCCCCCCTGCTCAGGGACTGGATCCTCGGAGGGATTTCTCCCACAACTCACCTTTTGGTCCCGGCACGCAATTAAGCAGCAAGGGGCAGCCTAATCCCCCTGCAGTGCCACCCCTGGAGGTTTTTTAAAAGCTAATGCCATCCTAAGTTGCATTAACCGAGGGATACAATCAATATCAAGGGAGGTGCTAATACCACTCTATAAAGCCTGAGTAAGGCCACACCTAGAGTACTGCATCCAGTTTTGGTTACCACATTATGAAAAAGATATTGAGACTCTATCCTGCTCAAACAGGGGGTTGGACTAGAAGACCTCCAAGGTCTCTTCCGGCTCTGTTCTGATTGGATTGGGGTGGCAAGGCCAGGGCTGCTAATCCAGGAAAGGTGATTCCTGCTTCCTTGGCCCCAATCTCCGAACCCCAGACTGTATGCGGGACCCCTGCAGGCATCTACTCACGTTGCATCCGGCTTTGATGTCCCCACCGGCACACACCATCTTCTCTCTAACCGCCATTCCCCACCAGTCCGGCTGGGAGCAATGTGCATAGTCCACGACTGGCAGAAGCGCCTGCTGAAGGACGTCAGGCATGGGGCCTCCGGCTGGAAGATAAAAAAATTTCCCCACCCCTGGTGAATGGCTTCGCTCTTTCCATGGTGGCCCAGTGGTTAGAGGGCAGTACTGCAGGCTAACTCTGCCCACTGTCAGCAGTTTGATCCTGACCAGGTGGACTTAGCCTTCCGTCCTTCCGAGGTGGGTAAAACGAGGACCCAGATTGTTTGGGGGGCAAGAGGCTGACTCTGTAAACTGCCTAGAGAGGGCTGTGAAGCAGTATATAAGTGCTATTGCTATTCCCACGCCCACCTATTCCCGCGCCAGGACCTACTGTAGATCATGCCCCAGCCAGTGATGTAGCAGGGATGATAGTTGGCGAGCAGCTCTCCTTGTGGGGGGAGGCACGCCAGCTGTACCTTGTCGTTGAGAACGGCCGGGCGGGAGAGTTTGATCAGGGCGATGTCGTTCCTGGAAGAAGAGGCGGCGACGGTGTTGGTGAGGGGGCTATTTTCCTTCCCTCCCCCTGGGATTTCCTTTGCAAGAAGACACCCCACTACCTCCTTTCGAGCAGGGGCGGTTCTACTCACCCGCAGATGAGACAGCTGGGGTCCCAGCAGGTGTGCACGACAATGTCCTCGGGGTTGATCAAAATCTGCTGTTCCGGGCCCTCCACCTCGGTCAGGTTATATTCACCCAGGACCACCCTGTAGCTGTACTCTGGACTGAGAGGAGGGGGCAGCAGCATGAGACTGTGGAGGCTGGGTCTCCTTCACAGCCCCTTCCCTTTCCCAATACCCACTCCCCCAGCCTCACAGCAGGAGCACCCAGATGCCCGAGGGGACTCACGAGATGCAGTGCCCGGCGGTCATCACCCAGTTGGGGTGGATGAGGCTCCCACCGCAGAGGTGGTAGAAGGAGTCTCCAGCCTGGTATTGCAGGGACACCTGCGGCAAACCAGGAAGGTGGGTGGCCTCATTACTGTCCCCCACCCACACCTTCCTCTCTATGCTCCCAAAAATGCTCTTTATGGTCTGTATCAGGAGTGAACTGTTTTTCTCCAACCTCCCCCCTCTTCCTCTCTCTCTGCCTTTCTGGTGCAGCTATTGGGGAGTTGGAGGGATCGCCTACTACTTACCTGCCAGGGCCAGCTGTAAGGAATGGCATCTTCTCCGTTCACTACCCTCCCGGTTCGGACGGGGGAAAAGGCGGGCTCTCCGCAGCCGTGGGCTGAGCGGAAGCGGGGAGAGAAATCACATGATCTCGTCACACGGAGTTGCCTTTCCAAAGACTGTTTCCCCTGGTCTTCCTGGCCACTAACTCTCTACATGAGTGTATTGACACTCCATAAGGTACTAGTCAACTTGTACAAGAGTTGGGTTGTTGGTGCCCAGATGCTGCCACTTCTCCTGCAAATGCCAATTCAACGCCTGAAGCTGGGAGAAAGGAAAGGAAATTCTTCCAGCCCAGCTGAAGGAAGCAGGAAAAGCCAACCGCCAAAGATTTCTGCAGCTTGGGAGACCCTCATTCTCCGGCTTTTCCGGGAGCCCAAGAAGGTGCC